CTTGGTCTTCCTATTCAAGTCATGACGGACCACGCTACGCTTCGGTGGTTTTTCAAGCAACCCAATTTGTCTGAAAGGCAGAAGCGATGGCTACTTGTCCTTGCGGATTACGACCTTCGTATCTCTCATATTCCGGGCGCTTCCAATGTCATTGCCGACGCTCTCTCTGGGCAGCAACGCGGGGACTAAAGCCCTTGGCCTTTTTGCTGATCGCGAAGAGCTCGGACCCGAGTGGCGCCGTCAACCGGTTGACGGCGTGCTTTACCTCTTGGGGGACCTCGTCGTCGTTGAGAGCCTCGAGCAACAACCGCCAGCCACGCAGGTTCCGACCTCTCGAATCAAAGATTGTCTCGAACCCGTCTTGGGCGACCTTGACGACTTCGTTGATCTCGTACGAGACCTCGGGGCAATCTTCGGCCCAGGACAGAAGCTCTTCATAGACCATGCAAGCAGCGGTCAAGACGCTTGCAGACGAGCCGGCCGACGGGTACTCGGGAAGCAGGCTCATCGTGCGCGTCTTCCACAGGTCGGTGGAGAGGAGCGGGTAGTCGCCGTGGGCAAAACCAGCGGCCACGGTTAGCGGGTCGCTTGGGCGGAATGTCGGCCCAGCCAACCAGGGGCGGTAATGTTCGTTGTACTTTTTCAACCAAGCAGCGACTTCGTTTGCCCACTGGGCGGCGAACTCAGCACCAGCTTCGTCCCTGATTGTCCTTTTGGTTATTTTACAATACCACGCGAGAGACTACTAGCATCGTCAGAGGGTCATTGTGGGGAAAGGATAGCGTTATACGCACCATTACGTCCGCCGTCTCGGTGACACGATGGTCCGCCATCCACAAGTAATGGTAGCGTGTGTTCATGGGCCAAGCCACGCGGTCGGCCAGATGTCCCGACCCGCGAGACATGTGGAGCTTCGCTTGTGCCACCTTCGCGAAGGTGGCGTCGCAGAATCGGCAATGGAAGCGGCCGGCGATGTTCTTCTCCAGCCACTCTGGTTTACCCACGTGGGTTATTGGTATAGAGCGCGGGCGGAGGGGCGTCGGACCATCTCGCCTAGCCCGTGCAAGCTGGAGGAACGATGTAGCCACGGGCATGGTAGTGGTAGTGATGTGGTTGAATCAGAAAGATGTAACACGTCAATCAGCAGTATCTGTCACACTGGGAATGACACGTGTACCATAGTTGTCATTACAATTTGTCTTACCAGTGGATTACTTGCTCCCCCACATAGCACAGTGACACAAGCAGTGCCTTTGTATTGCACGGGTGCTCAAGGCGTTTATATCACAATTTTTCACTCCAATTCCTGGTCAAACACTATTCATCAAACTTTGTTCCTTCCAATACCAACCATGGCAGCCCAGCGACAACTTCCCTACCTTCCGTATTTCCCTACTCTCGATCTCGCCATCGCAGCTGCAGATGGCACCAAGCGCGTCTGGGCAAGGGACAGGCTTCTGGGTGATCGCCAGGGCTCGAAACAATACGTTGTCGCCAGAGAAAGAGCATTATACCAAGAGTTGCTTAGGCGAGATGCAAAGCATCGCGTCTACTATGAGGTTCTGCTGAGTGGCACAGCCACCAGGTTCTACCTTGACGTTGAGTTTGAGCGTGCGACGTCGGATGCAGAACTTTCAATTGTTAAAAGCAATGTGATGCATTACTTCAATGATGAGAATGATGCACAACTTGTGAGAGACCTCTTGGGCTGGTTTTCAATGTTGAGTGACTGACCGTAATGTAGCGCGGCAGCCTGATGGTAAGGAGTCGAGCGCTCAAGGATACCGCCTTCTCTGAGCAGACTGCGAGCAAGGTCATTCATCAGATCCAAGACATGCTGGCGACGGGACTTCAGGCCAGATTCGACCCTCCTGAGAACGTGCTAGCCGGGACAGTGGTGATGACAGCGTCAACCCCGTCAAAGCTGTCGTTTCACATCGTGACGAATGTGTCTATCGACGACCAGAAGTCCAGTGGTGCTGCTCTGGCGTACGATCTCGGCATGAGCTTCCGACTCTACTTCGTGATGGTTATGCGAGAGATCCACGCTGCGGACCCCGGCTTGACTTCCCAAAGAGCCGAGGTGTTGCTTATCCTCTTGCAGCTCCACAAGCGTGGTAAGTCCAGTTTCGCCATGGACCTAGCCCCCTACGCTCGTCGTCAGTTGTTCCGTCTAGGAGGGTGCACCAAAGCCCACCAAAAGAGATTCCTCCGGCCGCTGGCGGTCAATGTCCCGGTCATCACTGGTGCCGATTCTCCCGTCCCCACTATGGCCAGCTTGTTCCCTTCTTCTGCCTCCTGGGCGGCCACGCTGTGTCAAGGTGGCCACGCCGACTTGTGGCCCAATGACCATGAGATCTCGTACGCCTACAACAGCTCGTACCCGTGGCCGAAGCCGGTTGGTGCAGATGGCAACATGGATCAATATCCTCACGTCAGTGAATTCATTCACGATCACTCAACCGCGGAGAGATTGCGCCTCGCAGGCCAACCCGGCATACGCGCAGCGGCCCCCCATGTGAGGCTCGCAACCGTTGTTCCCGGCCACACGTCCGTCCTGGACGACATCACGGTCATAGTAGGCGAGGATGGGGTGTCAACTCGAGCTTTCGTCGAGTACCGCGAGCACGAGCAGGTCTACTGCCCGCGCTGTGAGACGAATGCGAAGACGGATGCCCAGGGTCGGACAGTGGGGTACGAGGGCGTGGGGCCTGATCCAAGCGCTGTCATCACCTTATCCGCGAGTGGGCAGAACGCCCTCTACTGTTTTGCTGACTGCAAAACCATGTTCTTCTGCTCGTTGACTTTCGTCCGCCAGCCTATGTATGTGCAGCCGCATCAAGAGGTTCACCTGGCCAGTGGTGCAGACAGGATCAACATGAATGGCCGGCAGGACTTCAAGATCGACCCTTCCACTCGCCTGTCCGCCGTATCCGCACCGACCGGGGCCGGCAAGAGCACTCTGATCACGTCGTACCTGGATGGCCATCCCGAGGCCAAGGTATTGGCCATCTCTTACCGGCAGAGTCTTGCCTGCTACCAGGCTAACCGTTGGAGCTGTAAGCAGTGGTCACCACTGCTTCACGACTTAACCATTTTCGGCCGCGTTTCGGCGCTCGCCGCCTTTCCGCGACTTAACCATTTTCAGCCGCGTTTCGGGATCAATTCTTCTGGAATCAATTTCTGCTCTCGTCTTGGCTATCACTGATATCCACAACGCCACTTGTGTTATCGCCGCTTGTTCCGTTTTGCCGTTTCATGTTGTTTGCCGCTTTCGGCCCTTCGGCCGAAGGTATCTTGTGTGGTTCGTTCCGTGAGCTTGTGTGGTTCGTTCCGTGAGCTTGTGGGTCTCGTTTCGTGACTGCCCTTGCGCAGGGACAGAGTATTTGGGTGCATGGAATCGTATCTCTTTCTCCATCGCCCATCCATCTCTGTCCCTGTGCGTATTATCTCTCTTCCTCGAATAGTCACCTGGACTGACTCGAGCTAGTTCCCTTTCTCTCTCATCTTCCGTGTTTCCAAGTTCATATATTGATCGTTCTCGTCCAGGTGAGCCTTGTTCTTGTTGTATTCTTATCTCTTTCCCATCGCCCATCCATCTCTGTCCCTTTCCCTTTCTCTCTCATCTTCCGCGTTTCCAAGTTCATATATTGATCGTTCTCGTCCAGTTACATGCACAAGGGGTTTTGTTTGCTTCTCAGCGACAAGTACACCGACAACAACGACTCAGTGAAACACTAGGCGACTAGTGTTTACACTTTTTTTCAAACCTTTACCAACCCCTATACCCCCCAGCGATCACACAGACCCACCTCGAACTACCCAGCACCCCAGCCTGCCCAGAACCCAGACACAGAACCAAGACACAGCACGCCCCCCACTCAGAATGTCTCCCCCAGTTCCCCAAGACCCGATCCCGGGCACGGCCCCTCCCGCTGGAGGCGCCCCCCCGAATATCGAAAACAAGCCGAACATTGAGAAGAGCGGAGAGACGGAAGGCGGAGATCAGCAGGGAGACAAAGACAAGAACGGCGAGAAGGAGGGGGGATTTGAAGGCCCCAAGACAGACGACTCGGGTTCGACCATCTCTTTCGACACCCCCCTCGGCAATACCACACGTCCCCGTGACCGCCCAGACACCCCAGGGCCCGAGTCCCAGCCGATCCACCCTGGCATGTTGGCACTCATGGCCCAGCTGGCTAATATCCAGCAAGAGTTGACCGATCATATCAAAGAGCAACGCGCCACTGTCCCCGCTCCCGCGCCGGCCCCGGTCCCAGAGTGTCCCAAGGTTTTCAAACGCCCTGACACGCTGGTCTGCCCGACTCTGTCTTGGTACACGAACGACCCTTTTGCGATCACGCGACACTTATATGCCCTCGAGGTCTACCTCACGGCCGCTCGTCCAACCATGCTCCCCGAGCACTACCCCTTGTGGGCCATCGAGCAGTGCAACTTCTCGATCTCCAAGGTCGGCGAATGGTTCACATGGGGCCTCGAGTTCGGCAGGAAGGCTCTCACCTTCAGAATTTGGAGTAAGCAGTGGAAAGAAAAGGTCCTGGACCCCGATTGGGTCCGACAAGCGCGAACAGCAGTCAAGTTCAAACGTATGGAGGGCACCACCCCCCAACACTTCGACGCCTTTGCCAACTCCATTCGAGATTACCAGCACCTCCTCTCCACTTCCAGCGACCCCATCTCTGACCAAGATGTCAAGCGTTTCCTCAAGGAGGGCTTGAGCTCCCACATGCTCGTCCTTGACGTGGACAACGCCTTGGAGCAGAAGCAGTTGAACATAAACACAATCTCTGTCACCGACCTCATCGCCCTTATGTCCAAGAGAGTGACTGTCTGCGCTGCCCAGCTCGCCGCTTTCCAGTCTCACCAGGCTGCATCTCGACCGCCCCCTCGACCCGCCCAAGCCCCTCGCCCCGCCCAAGCTCGACCGGCCCCGGCCCCAATCAAAGCGATCTCCGCTGCCCCTGCCCAGGTTGCCCCTGCCTTCGCCCCTCCCACAGCGGCTGAAGTGCAAGTTTGGCTCGACAGCACCCTTCGTCTCCCACCCGGGGTGGAGGGCTCTAGAGCCCGAGAATATCTTCGGCAGCGAGGCCTCTGTTTCCGCTGCCGCCA